TGTCGGCATTTGTATGTCCAATGCTGGGGTCTACGTTGCCCGGCATTCCCGTGATTATGCAGTCACTTAATTTTGAACAGGACAACCCAACTCCTCTTTTAAGGCATCTGCTATGTGTACAAAATAGCATCCTGTTGCATAATGATTTTACAAAGGCATGAGCACATTTCCGACGGGGCTGCTTTGTCCTTTATGATACAGGTAGTTTGCCACATTAGTCCGAAGGCAGGGCTGATATTCATCTTTATAGACTAACTGAATAAGATATCAATAGAGAACACAAGCATTCATGACAATCAGCAAAGCTGGGGATAGTAGAGGGGCACTGTAAGTTTGCTCCGGTTTGGGAAGTTATTAGGAAGCTCTGGCCTACTTATGTAGGATAATCTTTGTATGCAGTCACCAGAGTCACTCGCTGCATCTGCATACTGTACAATGGGATCAAAGCCATCTGTGCTTGGACGTTTCAAGTAAATCACTGCTTTCTCCTTCCCTCTCCATCCTTTTGCATGACAGCTCTTTGAACAGGTCTCTTTGTTGGTGTGGGGTTTAAGAAACTAGCACTTCTCAAGCACGTGGAGAATCCGGGCCCCATAGTGATGATTTGGAGTTAATACAGGATTTTTACAGAAAGTTGGGGCCCTGTGGGGCCAGCTTGGAAGCGGATAAGCTGAAGGATTTGATCTATGGACTAGCTTGCCTTGGTATTTCCGTCGCTGTCTCCCAACTGCAATCGTCGGCTGTGACGCGTGATGACCGGAAGAAAAGTGTCCAAGTTGCATAACAGCCACATGTTTATCACTGCAGATTATCCTGCAGCAAAGGGGTTTAATGCATTTTTATGTAGGAAGGGGTTGGCTTTTTGTATAACAGATTAAAAATCTCTTCTTAATGAGCAGCGTGCATGAACTTTAAAAAATTACGAAGGAAAATATTCTGCAATGACATTTAAAGGCGCCTCAGCCCATGTGATATGCTGTAAATTGCTACCTGCATGATAATCGCAGCAGGAGGTTGCCTCTTTACTCTAGTACAGTGGTTTTCAACCTTTTTCATTTGTGGACATTTCAGATGGAGGTGGAGACCCCTTTGGAAATTTCAAATGGAGGTTGCGAACTCCTTTGAATTGTAAGTGTGGGTAATTGCATACTTTTTGATTGATCATAGTCATCTTTCGTGGACCCCTTAGACATAGTCTGCAGCACCCCCCCAGGCGCCACGGACCACAGGTTGAAAACCAGTACCTTTGTAAAAACTGCAATTGGGACACAAGAGGAAGAAAATGTGTGAGTTCTGGAGTTAGCTGGAGGGTGTGGTGTGCAGGAAACAGGCACGGCAGATTTTGCCAAGTTTATCTAGCTCCATACTCCCTGTAACTCTCCCCTGTTCCTTTGCAATGCAGCACCTTTGGCAGGGACAACTGAGCCCAAGACCCAGAAGAGAGAACATACCTTGGGCCTGGCCTTCTTTTCTGGCTACGGTCCTGCTGGCTGCTGTGGGCTTTCAATGTGCATCCCACTGACACTGCCATTCACAGAAAACCCCAGGCACCAAGGTTGGAGGATAGTGCTTTCATGCCGTCCAATTCCATCCCTTTGGGCAGGATGGTGAAATTTGTGCAGAAAAGGCCTTGGATCTAAGAAGACTGGTCCCCTCTTCACTGAGCTAGGTCTTCCAGCTTGTAGTGGGATTTTTGGAAAGCACCTAATTCACTTCTGCTTGTCTGAAAAGCTTGTCCTCTGGATGCAGACTCAATAGTTAGGATTGCAAAACTGCAACAGAAACTGTCTTGAAATCAAGGTAAAAGTGAGCATTAGAGAAACAGGTGCCTGGAGATCAAGTTGCATATCTTATGGGACCTGGATGAAAATAAAACATAATTTTAAAGTGGATATTTTATTTGAAAGCCACTTTCACCAAGGAATTGAACAACACGACAACATGCATTGCTTTAGTGGGGAAGGATGGGCCTACCACACCTCCACTGTTCCCTGGTAACTGTCTGTGTGCCTGCTCTTATCCCACAGTAAGTGAAAGCTAGACTGGGAAACCGGGCAAAGCAACCACGGTTCAGTTTTCACTTACCCTTGGGGTACGAGCAGGTGCATAAGCAGTTACCACTGACACAGGGCAAGTCTCTTTACCTGCTAATTTGGTGTGAACTGTCTATTTGTCCACAGCCATGTGACTTCTGTAGCTGTCCTGCCATCACTATGCAGGATTTCAATGGACGCCACCTTCAATCTGAGCCATTTGAGGCTCAAACTATGCAGTTTTAGTGCTTAAACTACGCTGTTGTGGCTTCTAACCAAAAAAGTAATGTCTGCTTGGCTTGGCACTGCCACTTTGATCCTAAGAGCTTGAAATAGTTGCTCTGTGCATGAGTCTCATTTACTGCAATGGGAGTTCTGTGCACAGAGCAATTACCAGTGCAAGATTAAGCCTATTAATTAATTAAGCCTTAAGTCGTATTATGTCTATAACAGATGGACACTCAGCCTAGGTATTAAGTAATGTGTGCAGGGGACATAGAGGGTGAAATTTATTCCTGCGCATTAGGTTCGGACAGGCATTAAGTGCATTCATATTAGGACGTTAATGGGATTTAGGTGGGGTAGAGCATTTCTATAGCTCCTCTTCAGAAGGGGACATTTTCTTCATAGTGAACGCAGCAAGGACTGTGTGAACTTCTGAACCTCACTCTTCTAAAACCAAAACTAGACCAAAGCAGGAAAGAGGTAAGGGGAAAAACTTTGGAGCCAATTTGAAATTTTAGTGATGTTTTTTCATACAAAGTGCAGTACAGCAGCCACTCGCTTCAACTGGCTACACTATGAGCTTGGCGCAGTTTGGGTTTAGTTGCGTTTTGAGTAGTTTGCTAGCCAGGTGATAGGTTAGGTGCCTAAAGACTTTGCAAGGTGTAATATCCTAGAGGTAATTTAGTACTGAGGACCCATCATCTCAGGTTAACTAAGTAACTATGTTGTAGTAATTCCCCTTTTTGTGATCATCATTGATGTATGTGGAATTCACCCTGGATGCTTAAATCCTTATTACTTTTCCATCCTTTCTTTCCCCAGACCAACTTCTCTCTCCCTCCTTGTTTGCTGTTTGTAGTTTAATTCTAGGACAGACTTTTAACTGCATTGGCTTTCAATCTGCTTTTCAGTTGGCTGTGCGTAGAGCTCCGACCTATTCAGTGGAAGGAGGGAAAGGCATGATATGGGCAATTAAAAATGTGCTGCTGAGGGGGATTTTTTGTTGGTATTTTTTTAAATAATAATTATAAGCCAAGGTACTGTGAGCAAAATTTAGATTTTTTTGCAGTTCACTGCAACTAGAATCTCAGGGTCAGACTAGACGACAGCTCAGAAGCTGTTGAGTGTACTGGTTCATGCTCTCCAGCCAGCTTGGGAACAATAATTCATAGGATCTTGCAATGAGTCATTTGTATGAGAGTGGCTAGAACATGCAAATAAACCCAGGGGCTCCACTGAATTCACGGTCCTACAGAGTACGAGACAGCGCTGGCCCCAAAGAGCTCACAGTCTATCAGGGGAATACAAGCAAAGGGTTAGAGAGGAAACAGAAGCACAGAGAGATCAAAAAGGCTTGCTCTAGAGCTCACAGCAGAGCCAAGACTACAGCCCAGATTTCCTGAGTCCTGTGATAGTCCCCTATATTCTAGACCAAGCTGCCTCCATAACTGAGTAACAATCCCTATTTATATAGAGCTGTTGGTATTTTGATGATGATGATTGTTTCATAGTTTCTAGGGTTGGAAGGGACCTGAACAGATCATCAAGTCCAACCCCCCTGCCCTGGGCAGGAATGAGTGCTGGGATCATAATGCCCCAGCCAGATACCTATCTTATATCCTCTTGAAGACTCCCAAGGTAGGGGAGGGCATCATGATGATGATGTTAAAAAAAAAAGAGGGTTCTTCTAATAGGCAAAGGAGAGGGCATGTATTCAGGGCACCTGCACTGATTGGGGGCTGAGGAGAATGGAAGTCAGTATTTGCCAAATGCAAAAAGACAACATTTGACAACACTTGGAGACTGTTGTATCTCATCTTCTAAGAGACAAACACATTGGAAACCAAACCACATCTATACTATAAAGAGTAGCGGGTAGTACTTAGGGATGTATTTGGCAGCCGTGTTGGTCTGAGACAAAAAGAAATGCAAAACTTGTACCCTTGGTTCGGAGATGATACATTGTATTAGACCAACTAAGAAATCACAAAAAAATGCGCTTTTTCTGCAAGCTGTCAGGCGCACACCCATCCGCAGGCTCAGGGAAAATTAAAAGATGGTTAAAAGTCCCCATAGGTAGAAAATAAACTTCATTTTTGTACAGTGGAAGCTGAAGGTGGAAGCCTGTTCCTCTGGGTCCATGAGAGTGTGTTTGTGCAGATAAGGTACCAAGATATCTGCTCTTTGTGCAGATAAGGCACCATATCCTTCCCTGGTGGTAGCAGATGGCAGACAGGCAAGGACCTGTAGAAATCTTTCTTGTTGTTCATCAATGAAGTTTAAATCCAAAATCCAATTCACAATCTTCCATGTTTCAGAGATGTATTTGGTAGCCGTGTTGGTGCTGGGTGGTACTTGGAAGTCACTGAATATGCCATTAAAATGAACATAGCAATTATTTTCTACTTTTCATAGATGTGCTAGGCAATTCCCAGACAGAAACAAAGGCCTGCTCACTCCAGGAGGAGCTCGCACATTAAAGGCACAGACTCTGTACATTAATGATAAAGTCACTGCTGTGCCCGCAGTGTAGTGTAGACATACTAACTTTCGACGAGCTTGTAGCTCAGCATAGAGTGTAAAACCACCTGGGGAAGCTGAATCAGTATTTGAGCAGACATCCTGTGCTCACTTCCGTACTGCCACACCTGGACTCTTCTTGGTACCCAAACTAGGTAGCTTAAAGCTAGTTCTGGCATATCTACTGGGACTACAGAGCAGATCTGTGGTAAGATCTCAGAGATGGCTGAATGGATTGAGCGGAGGAGGGAGGAATACAACATGTTACTAGACGGCTCAGTTTTGTTTTTGGAGTCAGTGAGATGGATTCCTTGCAAGCAGCCTGGTAAGCTCACCAGCCTTGGTGGTGGCACCCTTCAACTATGGGAGGCTGCCTCTTGAACCAGTGGCAGTGAAACCATCTCTGCAGGGCAGTGGGGGCACGTGCATTATTAGCCCACCTCTGAGCTTGATGTTTTGTGGTTTTAGTGCCTTAAGGTTTGCTGGGATGTCAAAGCACTACTTTTTCAAGCTGTACAATCTTATTCCTAATAGCTAACGGTGGCTAGAAGTATTACACACAGCAGTGATTTCTTTTCACGCTTGCTTTTTCTTGCAGGTTGCTCCAGTAGCAGAGGAAAAGCTGATGCCCAAATTGAACTGCAAAGTTAGTGAAGTAATGGTCAAGAACTTGCCACCAGGGAAAAACCCCATCATCATCCCTCCAGGTGGAAAGATGGGGAGTGAGTCCAGAGCCATTAATTTCCACCCGCCTTCTCCAAGAATTTCAGAGGCTAAGAACAAGGGGGAGAAAAAACTCCGGGCTGAGAAACTAAAGAAAGAGGGGGCCACTTCTCCCAACCTGTCTCGTGCGAATGAGGTGTGCAGCACAGACAACCTTGCTCTGAAAAGGCCGGTGAAGCTGGCTCCTTTGGAGATTCCCCGGGACGTGAAAGAAGCCCAACTCCAGAAGATTATGAGCATTCAGGCAGAAGCTCAAAGGGCTGCTCTCAAGCTAGCGACAACTGGCTCTGCCAGCAGTGAGCCCCATGTGAAACGGGTGAAAAATCTGGCCCAGGTAGAACTGGAAAACCTGCAGAAGATAAAGCTGAATGAGAAGGTTACACTAGAGAACAAAGATCAGCCCCGTTCACCGAAAGGCACCAAACCCTTGTATAAGGTGCAAATTATCTTGCCCCCAGAGACAGGCTCCAAAGTGGCAAAAACTTCAGATGCTGAAGATACCCCAGTGACATCCCATAAGCAGTTAACCCCCAAAGCCAAGCAAGATGCTACACAAGTACCCGACCCACACGAAGAGGCCAACATTCCCAATGGTAGCCCTAGTCCTTGCCAGACCACTGCCCAGCGCCGCCTCAGATTAAGGCAGATGAAAGAGCAACAAGAAGAGCACAGTATAGCCAAGCCCTGGAAGGCCATGGCTCCAAACACAGAGGAGGCAAAGCAGAAAATCGTGGGGCAACGAACACAAAAGACCCTCACTGATGCAAGCAGGCTCGTGGAGAACCTGGCCAAGAAGCACAGGGAGCGAGGAGCTGGGCAAAATGCGGGTGGTGGAAACACCCTTGAGAGGAAACAATCTACCCGAAGGATGGCTGTAGGGGACATCATCCAGGTGGATGAAGAATGAACTTGGTGCCCAAGTTCCTCCCTGGATGCTGCTGCTCCGTAATTCGGAGCCTGAAGACAAACACGAGCATTAGGCATAGATGCAACACCTGCTGAATAATGTACATTAGATCTGCCCATCGCTCAGCTGCCAGGTGAATGATGCCACCATTTTGTAGAGCAACAGTATGCAATAAAAGTCATTTTCCCCTGTTCATTGGCCATACCTCATTTTCCCACGGACAAATAAGCAGAATCCTTCACAGGCCAACCCTTAGGTTAGAGAGTTTGCTTGATTAACTGAGACCCAAGATGTTGGGATGGGACTAATGAATGCATTGCAGAAAAAGAGGGGAGGAAACCAGCCAAGAGGGGGAACAGATTTTATCTCCAGTCCTTTAAGTGTATCGGGGTGAGGAAGGCAGACAAGTAGCAAGTGGGAAGCTGCTGTTTTATATGCTTTGCCAGGAAGGTGGAAGTTTCCACGAGGACGCTCTGCATCCCGTTGTCTCTCCCTAGCACTTTCACACAGAGAGAGCTGACCACTTGCAGAGAAGAAAGCAGGCTACGGCACAACAGCATTAGTGCTACTGAAATAAAATACGTTGTCCTCAAACCTGCATCTGCTGATAAACTGCAGTCATATCAACCAAGAGGCAATAAACCCGGAGGCTGTGCATTCAAGATGTTATAAATAGAATCAAGTGAGCTTTAACTGTCAGCTACAGCACAAGAAATTGTAAAATTAAATAAAAAGCCGGAGAAACTCAGGGAGATATTTTCCAAGTGGTGCTCAGGGAGTGGAATAAATTAGTAATGCAATTCCCATCGAGTTCCCTGCAGTCCAACAGCTTCATTTCTAATTCATTCATTATGGTTAGTTAGAGAAATTGTATATAGGGAACTCTCATCCTATGATGGTAGGGAAGATTTAGATGTGTCCAAGTATGAGTAGGCAGGTGGTGTAGTCTCTGATTACAACGTTAGTGAGAGCATTATTAGAATGATATGCCTGGCTCTGAAGTCCACATGTTGCAAAGGATGTTGGGAAACTAGAAAGCCTGGAAAACATAAGCAACCCCATATGTGAGAGAGAAGAAGCTTGATCTATCTAGTATGCCCAAAGAAGGGTCTGCTAGAGAAAAGACTGCTGATAGAAGATGGCTTTTTAATGTAGCAGAAAAGGTATAACAAGATCCTGCAGCTAGATAAATTTGCACAAGATACAGGTGTAATTTTTTTCAAAGTGACATTAATGAAGTGGTTTACTGATCGGTGTTATGCAGGAGGTTAGATTAGACTATTATAATGGTGACCTCAGGCCTTAAAAATCTATTAATCTATTAATTCCTCTCTTATTTCTCCCAGATTTATAAACCCAGTCTATCTGGAAATGTGATGTTATATATTTGTTTCCGTAGTGTGTAAAATTTTCAGCAATAGAAAAAGTATGTGATGATAGCAGCAGGGGAAAAAAGGGTACTTTCTTGTATTGTTCTTTAACAACGCTAAAGCCTACGGGCACTTTTACATGTGCCCAAGGAGGAGGGGGTGCCCTTTAATTGGAGCAGCTCCGAGAGCTTCTTTAATTAAAGCCCTGCAGCGTCTCATGTCCCCATGCTTCAAAATGGTGCTGGGCGAGCACCTGACCTAAAGCTCATTCAACGACCTCATTTAAGTGCCCCCGCCGCCATTTTTAAGCTCCAGGAAGCTGATACACAAGACGCGGGAGGCTGCTGGAACGCGGCAATTAGCACACTGCAGCAGATTCAATTAAAGAAGTCCGCGCCAACGCACTGAAATTCCAGCCCATCGGAGCAGCCTCCATGCTCGTGAATCGGAGCCTCTTGATATTAAGCTTTCTACTAGGAAAAAAACCTGTAACTCAATATTACATAATACTACACCAGAGTATAAGGTGATGGCTAATAAAAATGCAGCATCATGTATGCATAAAATTCAATTTACAAAGCAAAGGCAACTTCAAAGGAGTTCCTTTTAAAAAAAAAATCACCATACTAATTTGATAAATCAATATTAGAATAAAATAGGAATGTTGGAAAGAGCGCAAACTGAGCGTGCCAAGGTGTGCATTATAGACCAGGGCCCAAACACTGCTTTTCATTTACATTCTGTAAATCCAATATAACTCCAATTTTGAGTCAATTGAGTTGCTTTGTTTCCATGCTATTATTGCTGAAATAAAAGTGTGACTTGAGGAACATATTTAAATAGCATTGGGAGGGAAGGAGGCAGTCAAAGGGGCTGGAATATAATATATCCATAAAAGAAATTTTAATGGCACTTTTAAGTTCTGGCAGCTAAACAAGAACAAAAAAAATCCCTATAGGCTGACATTACTACTTAAGCTACAAAGAGCTAAGAAGTTACTGTGTAAAAATGGCATTTTAATAATTTGTTTCCACAGCATATACGTGCGGCTGTAGGACCTGATTACTCAAGCTCTCTTTACTTTTTGGTTCTGATGATATTGTACAATTTGAGCCTAAAATAGAGAACATTGCAGTATAGGCCAGAACACCATTGTAAACTAGTATAACTACAGAGGCCCCCTCTCTTTCCCCAGAAGATCTGACAATGTAAGCGCAAAAAGGAGACAATGGGTGGATAACAAACAGATTGGGACAGATAAGAGTGAGACTGTTGTAATGAATGTGATAAGTCGTGGGTACCGTTCTCCAACAGGGGGGAACCACTGGGATGGCACAGTGTATAATTAAATAATTGTGCATTGCCTTAGAAAAGAGATATTACCCGGCAAGGTGATGGGGGTAGAGTAACATGTTTTGGGGTGAGGCATGAAGCTAGCCTCAAGAAGCCATGAAGACATCTCTACCAATTGGAAGACACTCTGCCCACGTGCAGCTGAGCATCCCCTCCAGCAGTCCAGGGCAGAAGGCAGTCAACATCAAGTTCATCCGACCCTCAAGCCCAACTCTAGGCACACATGCTGGGCACTATATCTATAAACGGACCTTTGGTGGGATTTTCTTGGGGACTTTGATGTTCCCTGACAGGTTCTTACTGACTGCCCCCTTGCCCAGCTTGTAGTCTGGGAAAAGGGCATTTTAGGTTGAAGAACAAGCGTGCCTGGAGCTAAGATCAGGGATATCACTGAGGCGATTCCTGCTCTTTGTTGTTGTTGGGAATGGGGACCTAGAAAAACAGAAGGAGAATTCCTGTGCTTTTAACTATTAATTATTGCATGCCTAATACTCCAGTACCTAAGCACCAGTTTAGGATCAGGAAACAATTGTGCTTGGGATTATATAAACCAATGGATAAAGCAAAGACAAACCCTGCTCTGGTGAGATATTTTAAAAGGCATTTTAAAAATCTAGCTCGTGTTTTAGCTTCCTCTCTCCCCAGTGCTCATTTCCCTGGCACCCTTATGAGGTCTGTGGGTACTACTACTAACTAACTAGGAAATATCAAAAAGAAAATCAGTTGTCTCTGGGACACAGCGGCAAAGTGCTGTTACTCTAAGACAAAGTCCATAGCTTTCAGGGTGATGGATGAGATAAAAGAGATGACATCCTGGCTCCTATGCTGGACCCTACTTTACCCTTTACTCTGTCCATACTGCCCTGGACTGTTCCTAGTCCTTAGTTCATATGGCACAGGTCTGCTAGACTCTTGGAAAACAGCCTTGTAACTTTAAACATGAGCTGGCACAGGACTAGCTCTGGGGATCAATATGTTAATACTCTCAGGCCTTGTGTACCAACAGGTGGCCTTAACGTTCAGTTTGCGGGAGACATAATTTTGAACACAATTGTTTTCTGTGAATATTTAACTAGCCCCCATGGGCGACGTGCTCACAAGCAATTGCAGCAGTTGCATCAATAAGCAATGCCGGGAAATTGTTAGCACTTTGTATACTTCAACTTTGCTTGTCAAGCACAGGGGGATCTGTCCTGGGCACTTGGATGTAGTTGTATTTCTGGAAGTTTATTGTAAACTATGAGCAGGGTGGGTGGGATTAGTTTGGATCTAATAAAACCAACTGGAAGCTATGGCTAAAACTGGGAACCAATCGGAGCAGAATGCTGCTAGAGGTGCAATGTACAATCTAAGCGCCTTTTTGTTTTGCACTTGCTGGTTCCTGCTGGAAACAGCAGTGTTTCAAAAGGCCTTTTGCATATTTTTAGCCCAAGGAGAAGCAGGAAGCACTTGGGCCCCTTATGAGACTGTCAGCTAATTTCTGCAAATGTAGGAAGTTCAGGAAATCCAATAAACTTGAGATCAGCAAGCGTGATGCATGGTCATGGGGACAGGTGGGTTGTTAAGTTACCTGAGTCTGATGGAAGTCTTTGACTATAAGAAATGAACCATTTGATTTCATTTTCCATCTCAGAGGGCAGAGTAGTAAATTTCTGGGGTGGACTGTATGTAGGTATCTTCTTCAATGCCCATTGTAGATGTGATGAACAAGTGCCAGGAAGCTGCCATCTGCACAACCATGCCCTCAGTGTGATGGAACTGGGCTTTCTCACACCTCGCATGAAAACCTGCCCCCGTGCACCTGCATTTCTTCCTTAGTCAGCCTGTAACAGGAAGCTAGAAGGCTCCTGTTACTTTAAGATGGGGGTGGGCAAAATGCCGGATCTAGCTGCAACTGGACTCCATTTACCGGAATCCCTGCCTGCCTCATTGTGGCTGGTTTTCATGGAGACCCTAGGAGCGGTGGGGCCATGACAGTGTGGGGCCAGGGTTTCCTTGGACACCAGCCCAAGTGGTGCTGGCAGGGCATGCGGCTGGGCAAGAGCTGCTCCAGGGCTCAGGCCAGGATCTTGCAGTGGTGACAGCATGAGCTGGAGCTGGGGCAGAGCCACAATTTGCTGCCTGTATGACCCAGGCAGGGGTTTTCAGGCAGCAGATCATGGCTCTGCTTCAACTCTGGACCATGCTGTCATGGCCACAAAATCCTGGCCCCAGCCCTGGAGCAGCTTTCCACTCAACTGCATGCCCTCCCAGTGCCACTTGGTCCATGGAAACCCTGGCCCCACGCTGTCACGGATCCACTGCTCCTGGCATCTCCATGTAACTGCGATGCAGGCAGGGAGGAACTGCTGGGAAATGGAGTCTGCTGCAGGCCTCATCTGGCCCATGGGCCAGACTTTGCCTGCCCCTGCTTTAAAAGAAACGAGTACCAGGTTGAGCTGAATCAGGAAGGACTGGCT